GCTTCTTCACTTAAAACATATTTTATGCATTTTTAAAAATTATTTAAGATAGACAATTTTCTTGAATAAACTTAAAAATAATTAAAGTGTTTTCCTTTCCTTAGTCATTTTGTCGAAATAATAATAATAATAATAATTTAACTCAATTTACTCTCCAACCAATTTAAATGGTTTAAGTGCAAATTATTATTTTCTAAAATGATTCAATTAAATCTTAATTACTCTAATTTTGTTAAAATCTTAATTGACCAAGTTGTCACAATTAAGTTCCAATTTTCTTAAAAATTAAAAAATGCGTCATTTATTTAATTATTTTCTCAAAGTTAATCAAATATTGTAAATTTCTTATTTTTATGTTAAATCATTATTTTCCTAAAAATAGTCAAATATATTTTAGTCAAGTCGCAGGTCAACCGCATGTTAGCGGGCACTTCGAATGCTTAAACCCTTTTCGAAGTGTAAATTGAACCACGAACCCTCTTTGGTATTTTCAAATGATTTTTTCTGTTTAAATCTTTGAAAATTATAAGTTTTTCTTAATTTCTTTAAAAAATTAAGTGGCGACTCTTTTTCTAAGTATTTTTCTCAAATTGTTTTATACTTAGAATATTTCAAAAAAAGTGATTTTTCTAGAGATAGTAAAATTACGACACAACAGAAATGGCGACTTCCGCTGGGGATTTAATTAAGTTCTAACCATAAGATTTGACTTGTTTGACTAATTGTATTAATTGCTAAATTGTTTATCTGCTCTCAACATGTTTAAATTAATATAACTGTCATTGCATTTCATGGCATCTTCCTATTATATTATAGTATATTAAGGACGGTTTCTGCATAATTGCAGCCGGACTTTTTATACTCAACCCTTTTTCGGAAGGATCGGCAATTTATTGGTACGTCATGCGTCCAATGGTTGTCGTGAATTCCAGCCTAAGTTGTCCACTTTGGTTCCCGGTCTTTCAAAGCCACTCTTAGTCAACTAGCGTAGAGCGAAACCAAATCCCAATTTTTAACGCATTTTGAACTAGGTCGACCCAACACCCAAGGCGTGTTGGGCCCATTAGAAGCCCACCTTGTGTTTATTTGGCCCATTTGCCAATAAAAAGACAATCATACTTATATGTTTTAATTGAAGGATGTATATGTCATTTTTAAACAAATCAATTATCAGGTGGGGGTGGGGGTTTAATTACCTTTGTTTGTTTTTCTTGTAGGATGAATCCGACGTTTGAGCCGTTGAGAACCCGAATGGTGACTATTCCTGATCCTTACCTCCAAGTTTGGTGGAAATTCATGAACAAGGAAGATAAAAAGAAAGTTCAAAGACATATAGGCCATCTCCCGTCATTAATGGAAATGGTGGCTTACCCCGACTTGATTGGAACGATGGTGAAATTTTGGGACAGCGACAACATGGTATTTCGATTTGGGGAAGTAGAGTTGACTCCAACTATAGATGAAGTTCTTGCCAGTTACGAGAGTGTTGGCATGTGCAACAAGAGGAAACACCAACCCGATACTGATCTTCTCTTTCCAAAAGTATGGGATTTTGCCGAAATCAAAGAAAAATTGTCACTCGTCAAAGCTGAATGGATGGACAGGCTGCCCGGGTCAAATATTCCACTTCGGAAGTTGTATTATCGATTTGGACGCGCAAGAGCTTATGAGAAGTTTAAAGATGAGTTCGTTTCAGAAGAAAAATGGAAGGAAACACGCCCTCTCGCTTTTGCGATATGTCTACTTGGGACAATGGTGTTTCCCCAAGGACCAAACTACACCATCCATCCAAGTGTAGTAATGGTTACTCATGCTATTTTTAATGGAGTAGGCTACGAGCCTGTAAGAAAGTACTACAATTTAGCTCCTATGATCCTTGCTGACATTTACAGGGCGTTGGATAGGTGTAAAAATGGCACACGTTTCTTTCAAGGGTGTAACCTGATACTTCAATAGTGGATGATGCGACACTTGATCAAAGCTCATGATCCAACAGAACCAGATCCCTTGGAAAGACCGAACAGGCTCGAAAGTCACGATTGGTGGGTGCAACGTAATCATTTCAATAGGACTGGAGGCCAAGAGTTTTGGTACCCGAGACTTCAGGGTTTGAGAGAGGAAAATGTGCAGTGGTCTATCCAATGTTTGGTAGTAACAAAACAAATTGTGATCCGAAGTGGAAAGGCCCCCTACTTGATATTTGCTGGGTTGAGAGGAACTCGGCCATATGCTCCTTCTCGAGTACTTAGACAGCTAGGAGGGAAACAAGAGCTTCCTCAGATAGAAGACATGACAAGATTTGTGACGGATCATGAAAATGGCGAAGTCGCTTTTACTAAAAAGATGCTTCAATTATGGAAGACTCGAAGGGTATTGGGCGAGCCGGTTCCAAATAGGTTTCGTCCGGAATGCTCTAAGGATTACAAAGAATGGTTAAAGAAGAGTCTCGCCGGAACTATCGAACCCGGTCCAAACGTTCCCCATATTATTGCAGATGTTGGAGCCAAGCATCAAATCCGACTTCATCAACTCCAAGAGAAGTTTGATAGAAATGAGCTGGAGTATCAACGTCGACACTCAGAAGACGCCAAAGTCATAGCTCAGTTGAAGCAAGAGTTACAAAAATCCAGGCAATGTATGTCAGAATTAGATGATAGCATGGAGCAGCAGATTCAGTCGGTCGAGAGGTTCAGACATCAAGAAGGGGCTCGGTTGGCAAGAGATCACCTATGGGCGGACAGATATGCTATGTGGGAAGAGGTCAGCATCGCCAAGAGGGCCAGACTTGGTGAAAGATCAGGATGAGGTTGGAGTTTGTTATCATCCCCTGCGTGGGACTGCTTTATTTGTACTTTGTCTTGTAATCTATCTTTCGAACTTTTTTCCCCAATTTTATGTTTGTCAAACATTTTTTAATGTTATTAATGAAATATTTTGGGGATAATGAATTGAATTAAAAAGACATATACATCCTTCAATTCGCTAGGCCTACCCTTGGCACAAAAGGGTCACATGCATGTTTAGGACGCGAGATTTGTCTGTTTACTTGTGTGCTTTAACTGTTTATGTGGTACGTTGCTTTGAATGAGGACATCTTTAGCCCACTCTTTTTCAAAATTTTCTGAAAATCTCTACAATGCTAAATACAAGTCATTACTAAAATGTCCGACCAAAATTTCTTGAGTCTTGAGTTTCTCAACCAAAAATAAAGTCTAAACTACCAAATCCTAAAATATAACTCTATCATCTCAGAAAAGGTGACATTGCTGCTAAGATGGAAAAAGGCAAGAGTATCGACATAGAGCTAACTGAAGAGGATTTGAGGATGAAATTACAGCGGCTCAGACAAGAGATCCAAGAAACCAGAAAAAGGAGAATAGAAGTGGAGTTTGCCACCGCAATCGTACGAACAGCAAATGCGGCACTAGACGCGGAATTGGCAGCAAAGATGACAAAATGTGCTGTTATAGATGAGGAGACAGTTGCTGTGCGAAAGAAGCGCGATGCCCTCAAAGATATAACCGTGATGCTGCAGAAGTCACATGGATAGCACTCTTCCTTCAGCCAAGAGGCCGCTAACAGGGATCCTGAAGGTACTGGACCTGAAGCTACCGAAGAAGATATTGGGGAGGAAATTGTCTATATGCCTCCTCTTCAGGGACGGTGGAATGAAAGGAATGAGAAAACCACCCTTGAAGCATATGAGTTTACCCCCCGTGATTAATGCGACAATCAGAAAAAAAATAGCCTGAGTGGAGGCATATTTTGTCTTTTAGGAGCTTTATTATATGTTTTTCACTTTCCTTGTAATCTTCAAGAAATGAATGAATGAAAATGAAATTTCCTTTTGTATTCGAACTACGTAGGGCCTGAATTCTCCTTGGGAGATACGTAGGCAGCCTTTCAAGGCCCGGCCCCTATCTTTTAAAAATTTTCTTTTCTCCTTCATTCTACAAGGAAACATTGAGTTCAGATCAACGAATGCCCAGAGATGCAGTAAGAAGACCTTAGCTCAACGCAATTTAACCTTTCTGAGTCACCAACCCAACATAAAAACGAGCAAATTTCTGCTTGTTCAAAAGTCAGTCCCCATTATTCGTGGGTTAACATGTTCTCAAACAAAGCAACTTTTATATGTTTATCTGCTTTCTATATGATATTTTGCATTATTTGTGCCGAATCAAAACTAACATATTTGCCTTTGAGTTGTTTTTCTCAAACAGGTAGTTAGAATTGGTCTGTGTCGATAAGCTGGCTGATCATCCTTATTTCACTAGATCTAAAGGTCCTACAGATTCCTTCCCCAATCAAAGTTCACAAAAGGGAAAAGTAGCAATGAGTGATAACAACGAAGAAATCAGCCTTACTGATTCGTGGTGGCTCAACCCGCCCTTGCTGATCAGAATGAACTGATCCTACAGTTGATGCAACAAATTGCTGAGATGAGAGTCGAGATGCAGAGGAAACACGATTTGCCTCCTCCGAGTTTTGCTGTCAACACTCAACCAGACGGAAGGCCTCCAGCTCAAATTCCCCCTCCTAACGTGGAACAAGCTCAGAACCCACCTTTAAGCCCTGCTCGTAATCCCTCCATCATTGACCTTACCACCCAAAACCCCCACTACGTCTCAACCTCTCATCACACACCACCCCCTCCACAAAATACCAACCTCCAAGTGCCACTCCTTTCCCCCAATGCAAACCACCAAACTGGCCTACCCCCTCAAAGCCAAAATGTTAACCGCCCGCACATTTCCCTCCATTACCAAAATCAACATACCAACCCCCAGACTTTTCCTCAAAATTACCAAGCCACTCAAAATGCCCAAAGTCCCTCTATTGCTCCACCACTACCACAAAAGGCCACTTTCCAAATACCGATCCCCAATGAGCATGACGTCCATGGTTCGGAGCTCGACCACTATGAGGAGAGGGAGAGAGAGTGGAGGTCAAAGGAAGAGACCGCCAAGATTGATGTGAAGGAAGAAATTAGAAAGGCCATGAAGGAGTTGAACTGCATTCCTGAGGTCGCCGGGTTGAGTTACGAAGACCTGTGCATTCATCCGAATTTGGACCTCCCTGAAGGGTTCAAGGTGCCGAAATTCGACATCTTCGGAGGAACGGGGAACCCTTTAGCACACCTGAGGGCCTACTGTGACCAACTCGTGGGAGTTGGGAGAGACGAAGCTTTGTTAATGCGGCTTTTTAGCCGAAGTTTGAGCGGAGAGGCTCTAGAGTGGTTTACGTCTCATGAAACGAGACAGTGGTCTAGTTGGAACGCTCTGGCTAAGGACTTCATCGAACGATTCGCCTACAATGTGGAAATCGTTCCTGACCGTTACTCCTTGGAGAAGATGAAGCAGAAGCCAACCGAAAGTTACAGAGAATTTGCATATAGATGGCGGAAGGAGGCAGCTAGAGTTAGACCTCCTATGTCGGAGAAGGAAATCGTCGAAGTGTTTGTGCGGGTTCAAGAGCCCGAATATTATGACAGAATCATGTTGCTCGTTGGAGCAAAATTTGCTGAGATAGTCAAGGTAGGTGAGACTATCGAGGATGGATTGAGAACCGGGAAGATTGCCCGTGTTGCTGCCTCGCCCGGATCTTCGGGTTTGTTGAAGAAAAAAAGAGAGGATGTGTCATCTATCTCTTATGAGGGGAAGAAGACCCCAAGGAAATCCTCATCATACCAAGGTAGTTCTCGACCTTCACAGAGTTCGTACCCAGCTTATTATACACAGACTGATTACCAAAATAATCATCCCCCTAGTTATCAAAATACTCCCCCTACTATCTACCAAACTCCCCCTCCAATTTACCAAGCTCCACCTCATCACTACCGGAACGTCGCCCCCAACTGTGCCAATGTTCAGACAAATTACCAAACTCCTCCTCCGACGTACCAAACCCCAGCTCCACTTTACCAAACTACCCCCTCGAACTACCAAGCTCCACAACCAAATTATCAAACCAACTCATATCCCAGATATCAACCCCCCCGTCCGAATGCTCTAAATTATCGCCAAATGCCTCCCCCTCAACAAGGCAATTACGATCCCACCCGTCCCAGATTTGAGAAGAAGCCTGCTAGAATTTTCACTCCGCTTATTGAAAGCCGAACAAAGTTGTTCGAGCGATTAACTGCTGCAGGATATATTCATCCAGTGGGGCCCAAGCCGGTGGACACTAGTTCAAAGTTTTACAGACCTGATCAGAGGTGCATATATCACTCTAACAATGTTGGTCATGATACCGAGGACTGTATCAACCTGAAGCATAAGATCCAAGACCTGATTGACCAGAATGTGGTCTCTCTTCAGACGGTTGCGCCCAATGTCAATAGTAATCCTTTGCCAAATCATGGAGGCACCACTATCAATATGATAGAGACAGATGATGATTGGTGCGTGACAAAGACAATAGTTCTGATTGCTCCTGACGAGTTGGAAAAGGCTGTAGCTTCGTTGAGCATCAGACAGAAGAAAGAGTTTGTGATTCTGACACCCAAGAAGGTTGTTGCCTTGGTGCCACAGAAAACTCTTACCCAACCAAAGTTTGTGATTGAAACGGCTGCCACCCAAGGTATGACCAGATCCGGCAGGTGCTACACACTGGAAGAGTTGGCTCAAGGAGGGCAGAAGAAAGATCAGACTAAAAGGCCGATTAGTGAAGCTGAAGCCGAAGAGTTCTGGAGGAAGATGCAGCCGAAAGATTATTCAATTGTGAAGCATTTGGAGAAGACGCCAGCTCAGATTTCTGTGTGGGCTTTATTGATGAGTTCACAGTTGCATAGACAGGCTTTGATGAAAGCTTTGGATGACACTTATGTACCTGTGGGTACTAACAGCGACAATCTAGCAGCCATGATACACCAGGTCATTCGGGGACATAGAATCAGCTTTTGTGACGAAGAGCTGCCCTTTGAAGGGAGGATGCACAACAAAGCTCTGCACGTCACCATCAAGTGCCGGGAAAAAGTTATAAATCGTGTTTTGGTCGACGATGGGTCCGGTCTTAACATATGTCCGCTTTCGACTCTTAAGCAACTGAAATACGACTTGGGAAAGGTTCAACAAAACCAGGTCAATGTGAGAGCTTTTGATGGAGTGCAAAGAGACACGATAGGGGCAGTAAACTTGGATATTCAGGTGGGTCCTGCAGAGTTTAATGTGGAGTTCCAGGTGTTGAATATCAACACTAGTTATAACCTACTTCTGGGAAGACCGTTTATCCATATGGCCGGGGCTGTGTCGTCTACCCTTCACCAACTGTTAAAATTTGTATGGAAGGACCAAGAATTGGTCATTTATGGTGAAGGGAGCCACCCCAATGGGTGTGCACCAATCGTTGATGATGTCTCTCGAGGTTGCGACTTTTACACGGTGGAGCTGGTAAATGCCACCGATGATGACTTGGCTCCACAGCCTCCTATGCATGTCGTGTACAAAATGATTGCTACTGTCATGCTCCAGAATGGTTTCGAACCAGGTTTCGGGTTGGGGAAACATTTCCAAGGAATTGTCGAGCCTATCCAAATCCCCGCCAAAGGAGCGAAGTTTGGTTTGGGGTATGTCCCCACAGAGGCTGATGAAGCAGAGATGAAAAACAAGAGTAGTGATCAAGCATTGGCCAGGCCAATTCCCCATCTGTACCAGTCATTCCCGGTGCGAGAATATGTCAATAATGATGGTCTCGGGGAAGGAATATGTGGCCTTTTTTAGGAGATTGATGCAGTCATTGAGGAAGAGGTTGGGACATCAGGCATCCGTGACGCAGAGCCTGAGGAGCGCTTGCAGAACTGGACCTCCACACCACTCCTGATTTCCCGCACATCTGGGTAGAAAAGACATGTGTCTTTGTTTGTTTTAAAATCGGTGGTAGTTCGGAAGAGGCCCGAGACCCACCATTTATGCAGTTTATTTGTTTGAAGTCTTTATTTTAAATTCCCTTGTGATGTTTAAAAAAGCAATGGCCCTCGGTCATGGCTAAAGTTTGTGCTTGTCTTTTCGCAATTTAAATGAAAGCCTCTTTTATAAAATACTTGTCACTTATCTGTTTATATTTTATTTTCCTAACTTTGTTTGTTTATGATTTCAGTAATATTAATTTAAAACCTGCCAATGTCATGTCGTGTCATGAACCGAGTGAACAAAATGAGGCAGGTGATGATGAATGTGAGGAATATGAAGAAGAGAATGAGGTTCCCGAACATGTTGCTGAAGAGTTTCGACAATTCGAGAATCAACACAAGCCGAATTTAGAGGAAACCGAGAGTGTGAATCTCGAAGATGAGGAATGTGTTAAAGAAGTAAGAATCAGTGTCCATCTTACTGAAGCTCAAAGAAGAGACCTAGTCCGTTTGCTCAGAGAGTATATTGATGTGTTTGCCTGGTCTTATAAAGATATGCCAGGATTGAGTACGAATATGGTGTCCCACAAGTTGCCAATCAATCCAGATTTCAATCCAGTAAAACAAAAGACTCGGAAGTTTAAGCCTGAGTTGAGTTTAAAGATCAAAGAGGAGATTACAAAGCAGATCGAGTCCCAAGTAGTGGAAGTGACGCAGTACCCGACTTGGTTAGCTAATGTTGTTCCGGTTGCCAAGAAAGACGGAAAAATCATAATTTGTGTTGACTACAGAGATCTCAACAAAGCTAGCCCAAAAGATAATTTTCCATTGCCAAACATTCACATCCTCATTGATAACTGTGCTAAGCATGAGATGCAGTCATTTGTGGATTGTTATACGGGTTACCACCAGATCTTGATGGACGAAGAAGATGCAGAAAAGACAGCTTTCATCACACCTTGGGGTGTATATCATTATCGGGTGATGCCGTTTGGTCTCAAAAATGCCGGTGCTACTTACATGAGGGCTATGACGACCATTTTTCACGATATGATTCACAAAGAGATCGAGGTGTATGTAGATGATGTCATAATCAAGTCCCGCGAGAGTTCGGATCACTTGACTCACTTGAGGAAATTCTTTGATCGTCTACGCCGATATAATTTGAAGTTAAATCCCGCCAAATGTGCTTTTGGAGTGCCAGCTGGCAAGTTGTTGGGATTTATAGTTAGCAGGAGGGGAATTGAGCTTGACCCTTCCAAGATCAAGGCGATCCAAGAATTGCCTCCTCCAAAGACAAAGAAAGAAGTCATGAGTTTTCTAGGAAGGTTGAACTACATCAGCCGATTTATAGCTCAGTCCACCGTGGTGTGTGAGCCAATCTTTAAGTTATTGAAAAAAGATGCCTCAACCAAATGGACCGGAAATGTCAAACTGCTTTTGATGCCATCAAGAACTATTTGTCCAATCCACCGGTGTTGGTCCCTCCAAGAGAAGGGAGTCCATTATTGCTATATTTGTCAGTCTCGGATAACGCGTTGGGATGCGTGCTTGGTCAACATGATGAGACTGGGAAGAAGGAGCGCGCCATTTATTACTTGAGCAAAAAGTTCACTCCATATGAGGCCCGTTACACTCTTTTGGAGAGAACATGTTGTGCTTTGACTTGGATCGCTCAAAAGTTGAGACATTATTTGTCTTCTTATACCACATACCTTATTTCCAGGATGGACCCATTGAAGTATATTTTCCAGAAAGCAATGCCGACAGGAAAGTTGGCTAAATGGCAAATGTTTTTGAGTGAGTTTGACATTGTGTATGTAACTCAAAAGGCAATAAAAGCACAAGCCTTAGCTGATCATCTTGCGGAGAATCCAGTTGATGAGGAGTATGAGCCGCTCAAGACTTATTTTCCCGACGAGGAAGTTCATTTGTGGGTGAAGATATTTCTGAAGCATATCCTGGTTGGAGAGTATTCTTTGATGGAGCGGCAAATCACCAGGGAAAAGGTATCGGAGCAGTCTTAGTGTCAGAATCCGGTCAGCATTATCCTATGGCGGCTAAACTCCGATTTAATTGCACAAACAACATGGCTGAGTATGAAGCTTGCATCCTCGGTTTAAAGATGACAATCGACATGAACGTCATGAGCTTCTAGTTATTGGAGACTCAGACTTACTGATTCATCAAGTTCAAGGAGAATGGGCCGTGAAGAATCCAAAAATCACACCGTATGTGCAGTACATACAGAAGTTGTGCAAGAGATTTCGCAAGATTGAGTTCAGACATACTCCCAGAGCACAGAATGAGTTGGCCGACGCTCTTGCCACCATTGCCTCGATGATCAAACATCCAGATACAAGTTATATTGATCCAGTAGATATAGAGGTAAAAGAACAGCCTGTTCATTGTTCACATGTTGAAGCAGAACCAGATGGTTTGCCTTGGTATTTTGACATCAAGAAGTATTTAGAAGATGGGACTTATCCTGAGAATGCAACGTTCAACCAGAAGAAATCGATACGCCGTATGGCCCTCAATTTCTTTGCAAGCGGGGAAATCCTTTACAGGAGGACTCCAGATTTAGGTCTTCTCAGATGCGTTGATGCTAATGAAGCTGCAAAGCTTCTGGAACAGATACATGCCGGAGTTTGTGGTACTCACATGAATGGGCTCACTTTGGCCAGGAAGATCCTTCGAGCCGGTTACTTTTGGATGACTATGGAACATGACTGTTGCAAGTTTGTGCAAAAGTGTCATAAATGTCAAGTGCATGGAGATTTGATTCGGGTGCCTCCTCATGAACTCAATGCTATGAGTTCACCTTGGCCGTTTGTAGCTTGGGGCATGGATGTCATTGGTCCACTAGAGCCAGCCGCCTCTAATGGACACAGATTCATTTTGGTTGCGATTGACTACTTCACCAAATGGGTGGAAGCAGCTTCATATAAATCGGTGACCAAGAAAGTTGTGGCTGATTTTGTTCGCAATAACCTGATATGTAGGTTTGGAGTACCAGAATCCATCATTACTGATAACGGAACGAATCTTAACAGTCACTTGATGAGAGAGATATGTGAACAATTCAAGATTACTCACCGGAATTCCACTGCCTATCGTCCCCAAATGAACGGAGCTGTAGAAGCCGCCAACAAGAACATAAAGAAGATTTTGAGAAAGATGATTGAAAATCGCAGAGGTTGGCACGAGATGTTGCCATATGCTTTGTTGGGTTACCGAACAACTGTCAGAACATCAGTTGGAGCTACTTCATATTTGCTAGTATATGGAACAGAGGCAGTTATACCGGCAGAAGTTGAAATACCTTCATTGAGAATCATCCAAGAAGCTGAATTGAATGATGCTGAATGGGTTCGCAAGCGGATTGACCAGTTAACCTTGATCGATGAGAAGAGAATGGTTGCCGTTTGTCATGGTCAATTGTATCGACAGAGAATGACTCGTGCTTTTCACAAGAAAGTAAGATCCAGGACATATGAAGTTGGTCAGTTAGTTCTTAAGCGCATTTTCCCTCATCAGGATGAATATAAAGGGAAATTTGCACCAAATTGGCAAGGACCCTACATGGTTCGCAAAGTGTTATCCGGAGGTGCCCTAGTCCTGTCGGAGATGGATGGCACTGAATGGCCGAAACCGATCAACTCAGATGCTGTCAAGAGATACTATGTGTGAAGTTTCAACTTGTATTTTTATCATTTCCTTGTAATCGTTCTATTTGCTTGTAATTGCTTCGTTTTAAATTTTATCCCTCTTGTAATGAACTTCGTCTGACCTGAATTCTCAAGAATGAGATACGTAGGCGGCCTATGTCAGCCTCGGTCACTCCTTTATCCCTTTTAATATTTCCTTTTATTTGAACTACGTTCGACCTGAATTCTCAAGAATGAGATACGTAGGCGGCCTATGTCGGCCTCGGTCGGTTTCTTTGTAAATATCCTATTTTTATTAGTCCTCGAGGGGGAACTACGTTTGACCTGATTCCTGCCTCAACGGGATACGTAGGCGCTACAAGGGCTTGGTCATATTCCCCGCCAGATTTCTATTTCTCATTACAATAGAAACTGGGACAGAATTTTTGAGAGGGACTCAAAAATTCTCGAGAAGAAGATCTTTTCCTACAAAGTTGAGACTGAAGTTACTATGAGATTTGCAACTGGGACATAATTTTTGAGAGGGACTCAAAAATTCTCAAGAAGAAGATCTCTCCAACAAAGTTGAGACTGAAGTTACTATAAGATTTGTAATTGGGACAGAATTTTTGAGAAGATCTCAAAAATTCCGTGTTTGCTCGCCAACGGTTAAAGATAAGCCAAGACAGTAAACTAGGACAGAAATTTTGAGATGGCCTCAAAATTTCAACAAGGTTCAGCGAGAGTTTAGAGCAACTTTGAATACATCCCAACAAGTGATCAGACAGATCTCAAAACACCAACTCTGAATGACGTCCATTAAACTTGACGTGACATGACACTTGGCAGCAACTTTTTCCAAACATTACTTTTAAAAATCTATTTTCCTTAAAAAACTTTTCCTTCATGTTTTGATTATTTTTGCATAAAAATATTTTGTCTTATCTATCAAGAAGCGGGAGATCGGAGGAAACAACAGGAGATAGCAAGACAAGGAGCAGACAACCGAAGAAGATCGACACAGATCAGTTCATTTTGAAAAAAAAAAAAAAACTAACAATTTTTCTGTGGATGCAGGTCTATAGGTTTGCCTCAAGATCGGCATATTCTTCCATCCAATGAATACAGAGAAGTCAAAAGGGCGAAGAGCACCCCAAATTGAAAACTTTTGCGGATACAGGAAATATCTTATGCTTCTTATACCAAGAATTGGGAATATAAGTAGCATTACTTTATTCAAATTCTCAGCAAAGCAAGCTCATAACGAACATGTAACTATGTTCAGAGATGGGACAAATGAAACCACGAAGAGAGCAATATTATTATTTCCCAGCAACCACAAATACCTGGAAAATATATATCTGCATTATATTATCAGATATAATAATATTCTTACCCTGAAGGTTATTTATATTGTATTGTCGAATAAGATAATACCGCTACTCGGAGAGTCATTTATATCGTATTGTCAAATAAGACGATACCACTACTCCGAGGGCTATTTTTATTTATATTGTCGGTTGAAACAATACCGCCATCCAAAAATACCCAGAAGATCACTATATTGCTAGGTGAAGCACTATCTTCGCTCGGTATCAGGGAGGCATCATTAAGAAAAAAATCATGCATTGCAAGAGAAGATTCATGTATCGCGGAGAAAAATTCATGCATCGCAGAAAAATAATTCATGCATCGCGGGAAAAATATCATGCATAGCAAGAGAAAATATTCATGCATGTCGGGAAAAGATCATGCATTGCAAGAGAAGGATTTATGCATCGCGGGGAAAGATTATGCATAGCAAGAAAAATAATTCATGCATCGCGGGAAAATATCATGCATAGCAAGAGAAAGATGTCATGCATCGCGGGAAAATATCATGCATAGCAAGAGAAAATATTCATGTGTGTCGGGAAAAGATCATGCATTGCAAGAGAAAAGGATTCATGCATCGCGGGGAAAGATCATGCATAGCAAGAGAAAGAATTCATGCATCGCGGGGAAAGATCATGCATAGCAAGAGAAAGAATTCATGCATCGCGGGAAAAGATTATGCATAGCAAGAGAAAACAGTCATGCATCGTAGAGAAGTCATGCATTGCAACAGAAAAAGATTCATCCATCGCAAGAGAAGATTCATGCATTGCAAAAGAGATTCATGCATCGCGGGAAAAATGTTCACGCATCGCGAGAAAGATTCGCCCACCAAAAGAGAATCAACATCAACTGCATCATTTTTCTTGCAAATACGACATCAAGAGAACTATCAACATATTACATATGCATATTTTATTACTTCGTCATCAAAAGAAGAGTACATTGAAGATTATATTAGAAATACAAAATACAAGCTTTATTTGCTTCACGTCAAACTCGATAGAGTTTACGTCAAATGTTCAAGGAGAACAATTAAGTGTCAACACGGTAAAAGACACTGTCTCCCATTTGAATTGCATTTTTATGCTAATGAGTTTTATCTCAGTCTTTGTCGAGAACATCCGAAAGGATGAATTCTCCAAAAACAAACCACAGATGCGAACGACATAAAAAAGGATGCAGCACGACGTGGAACTTTTTCTTAGCAGCGAACTGGGACATAGTCCAAAGAGGAGTGCCAAACTCTTGGGACGCGAGTAGAGGAGCGACTTCCACCACAATCAAACCACACCCCTATTAGAAGGCATGTGGGTTTTTCTTTAGGTTTCGTGGTTTCAGTTTCGCATCCGAAAAATTTTGGGTTCATCGGAAGCAACTTTTCAATCTGAGTGACAATGCACCAAGAGCCTTGGAAATTATGTCCGTGTAAATTCTTAATTATGGGTGTGAAGTGCACCACATTCATGGCTAAGAGGTTGCAAGCCTCCTTTTCATACTCAACTGACTTGTCACTTTTCCAGAACCAAAGGTTATCTTGCATAATAGATTTCCTTTTCAACCGATTGAGTCGAACTACAAGCAGTCTGATTTCCCAAATTAAGGGATATGTAGGCGGGCTCAATGTTGAAAACTCGATTGTATTCCGGCATTCTCTCTTAAATCTTATTCCCAAAGTTTCGGTCTGTTCATAATTCGATATCGAAATAACTTTTGAGTTCTTCAAAATCGTGCGCTAAATCAAGCATATCGAACTACAAGTGGATTGAATTCTCATAAAGCCTGATATATGTAGGAAACCCACTTCTGGGGTTCGACCATAATTCCTAAGGTCCGTACCCAAGTCCCTTTCCTAATGATAAAGATGTGGTCGGTCAAAATTTGATTCGTCAATTTCATTTGCCTCAAATTGCTTTCATCAATCCAAGTCAAATGAGGGACAGTTGTTGACACCCAATTTTGACCCTCCACAATATAAATTAATCATTTCGAGCTTCTCCAATTTCAAACGATTTAAAATTATTAGTTTTATAAAATTTCTAAAAATAAAATAAAATATTAATAATAGTAAAAAATAAATAAATAGTAATAATAATATAGTTTGCAAGATTTTTAAATAGTTTTGTCACTTTTCATAATTTTTAGATAATATATATGTTTTACATAATTATGTATATAATTAGTATATTTTATGATTATTCGAAAATCGTCTCAAAAAAGATTTTATATTTTAAATGTTAGGGATGGTTATAATTTTGAATTAATGAGTTTTATGAAATTCAAGATGCTTTCAAGTCAGTTTTTAAAGTAATTTTACCTTTTCTTAATAATAAACATGTATATTTTTGCAATCACGTTATTTTATAAATATTTGAAAATATCATCACAAAAGATTTTACATTTTAGTTAAATACTTTATTAATTTACTTTAAGTTATAGTTATAATTTCGAGTTAATTAGCTTTGTAATTGAATTAGTTAGTATATAATTAAGTTTATTATTATTATTTTTATTTTATTTCGTTAAGATTAAGAAGCTCATTAATTAATTTATATTAACTCCTCTTGTTTAAATTTTAGCCGAATTCACAATTAAATTCTATTAGGCTATAATGGAAATCCATTATTTAAATTTATCCCATCTTTAAAAATAATTTTGGGCCACTTCCTAAAGGCCCAACTCTTTCCCTTTCTCAAAATTTCCAATCCCATTTTTTCAGCCCAATTCCCAGTGATCCAAACATCAACCAGCAGCCCTTAGATGCAAGACACAGCCCACCATCCCAGCCCATTAACTTCCTGACCCGACCCAACCCCTTTTCCCCTTTAATTTCAATACATACATCAGTACTAATACAACAAACAGTAGCCGACATAGACCTAACCCCTGCGTCTTCTTCCTTCCAAAACGACTAGCAAGCAACGTCCAAATCCCAGCAAATCCGGAAAGCAGCAGGCGTCTGCAATTACCATCACCATGGCCATTTTTTTTTCCTTTTTCAGAACTCCCCATCCCTCCCACTGTTGCCTCGAAAAAATGCATACAAGTTTGGATTTCAAATTCGAAATTTCACCCGATTTCCCCTGATTTTCCAGCTATATATTGCTCTCTTTTGATCACTGGTGAGAGAAGAGGGAAGCACAATAATTTCTCATTAGATATTCAAGAATAGGTTTATATTTTCCCTCTCGTTGCCCCTAACTGGAATTTTCCGAAACTCATCGGAGATTTATTTGTGGTGGTGTATTGCTTCACGATCAAGCTCGTTGTCCTAGTCTCGTTGCCCCGACGAAGGTAATATCCCTTTCCCTTTGCTAAGTTCTTTTTCATCTCGTGTTATTGTTGTGTCGAAATTTCCAATTTTTGTGTTCATGTTGCTGCTGTTTATTTTCGGATTTCCTTAACAAAGATATAAAGTTATGGTTTTAACATTTGAATATGACTAAGTGTTACTCTTCTTGCTAATGAAATAGTTATTGGTATTATTTACTGTTTGTTGATGTAGTATCTCGTTTTATCCATTTTTTTTTATTTCGTGTTTCGTCTTATTGTTTACCATGTCATGTTTGAGTCGTGCTTTGGTTTAGATGTTAGTCGCTAATTCATTAGGTTTGATATAGCTTAATCATGCTCTAAGGTTTGTTAAACCTCTGTTATTCTTCCCAAAAC